ATCTAAGAGATAATGTGGCTCATGAGACAGAAGGCCCAGTTCTTTTCCTAGTTTTATCTGGACTGGATTTCACTTGCAAACTTTGGTTTCTTATGTGCAAAGTGACAGAATAGAGATACTGTTGCCCATTCCCACCTTCAGGACTTGGAAGAAAAAACAATTATGACTATAAAGATGCTTTGAAAATCATGATTTTTTTGAATCTGGCTATTAATATTATGAAGACATTCATTTATGTTTCTACCCAAAAAAGGTGGGGGGTAATAATTAACAGTGTTTAAAAGGATAAAGTCTAAACTGCTACGCAGATGTGTCTCAGAGGAGCACCAAGATTGGCACCTCCTGTTAAAACTGCCTTTTCCATCAACACTGCCCTTCCCGTTATTTGCATTTTTATACCTCTTCATCTACATGTGGATAATTCTTTAAATTTTAATCTGTAAAAGCTTCCAGGCATGGAGGCACAGGCCTATAATCCCACCAACTCAGGTGGTTGAGGTAGGAGGATCACAAGTTTGAGGCCAGACTCAGCAATTTAACAAAGCCCTAAGCAACTTAGCAAGATCCTGTCTCAAAATTTAAAAAAGGGCTAGGGATGTAGCTCAGTGGTCAATCACTCCTGGGTTCAATCCCCAGTACCTAAAAACAACAGCTAATGTAATCACTGACAGCATAAATATAGAAGAAAGAATTCTCAACCTTTAAAGTGACACTCAGGTTCCATGCAGACTTAACTGATCAAAATTTCTGGATGGAAGAGAGTAAATAAATAAACCCAAGCCATTTATAATTTAACAAGTTCCCAAAGTGCTTCCAGTGACTTTCTTATTGCAATTACTACAACATTGTAATTAATATTAGCTCAATATTATCATGTATCACCCATTAAATATATGCTAGTCACTGTCCTAGCACTTTACATGTATTGCTTATATGATCTTTACAACCATGTAAGTATGTGCTGCTGTAAACACTGCCCTCCCCTCACCCTCACTTTTATAGATGAAGACAATAAAATAGAAAGAGATTACTTAATTGGCCCAAAGTCACAAGACTAACGTGGCAAAGTTTGAAAACTGTTGATCTAGTTTCCTACACTAGGAAAATTGTACAGTCAGTCATGGTGGTGCACACTGTAATCCCAGATACTTGGAGGTTGAAGCAGAAGGACTGCAAGTTCAAGGCCAGTCTCAGCAATTTAGCAAGACCCTCCACAACTTAGCAAGACCCTGTCTCAAATTAAAAAATAAAAAGAACTGGGAATGTAGCTTGATGGCAGAGTATCCCCGGGTTAGATCCTTAGGAACAAAGAAAAAAGGAAAGAAAGAAAGAAAACAGTTGTATGTAAACTCTGGTCAGATCATATTGAAATCTGTTTTCTTTTAAAAACAGAGTTGCCCAAAGAAGCACAGTGAGCCCCTACTAAACTAGAAGAGCACCTGGGAAAGTAGCTCAGTGATACAGCACATGCTTAACCTGTGGTACAAGGCCCTGAATTCAATCCACAGCACCAAACAAATAAACCTGCAAGGGACAAAGAACCTAAGGCTGTTTGCAGGTGTCCAATAAAATTGCCATCAATTCATGCTGTAGTTGTCTCCCCTCCTAGCCCAAGAGCCCTGAAGTGCAGGAACCATGTATGTATGCCTCTTGGTACCTGGGGCCTACCTGAAGGACTTAGTAAATAATCTAACCAATAAATCTAGATAAATCCTGATGGCTATCCTGGGAAATACGAAGGGCTATTGTGTAAAGAAGAAACAAACTTAATTTATGTTACTTCGCGGGAACAATTCATGTCAACAGGTAAAAGGGGAAGACCAGATTCTAGAACAGTCTAAAAACATGTCTGGCGATCAAGGCTCTACAAGAATAGAGCAGCATGCCTGAGGTTTGAGACTGAATGTAGCAGGAATATGGTAGAATGTTGGATTATAGTGCCTCTAAGAGCTCTTCTTCCAAGATACAAATCCTATTAGTCTACATTCCAAGGGATTTGTTTATCCTTTTATATAATCAGCAATTTCCACTAGGTATAAAAATCACATTAGTAAGTTACCATGGATACCATAATGTGTTCTACAAACTTCCTGTGCTTTCAAGGACCCAGAGAAGAGTGCATGTCCACAAGTAAACCTGAGCAAGGAGGAAGGTGACTATATGACAGGAAACAGCAAGGGGTGAGACTTCCAGGCGAGAATAGTCTGAGCATAAAGGGGCAGGAAAGCCCTGGGATGGTGAAGACCCAGCTATAAAAAATCAGTAACTCCGGTGCTGTAGAGGTCACTTAGTCTAATATCTATATACACTTCATGGATGATGCTCTGCTGGCACTGAGAAAAGAAAGCTTAGTTCATTTTTTAAATTATATTTTATAAATCAAAAAATTGTATCATCAATGCTTTCTTTGCTTAGTTTTTGTTTTTATTTTTAAGACTAACAGATCCTTCACTTTTTTCAAGGAAATCTTTTAAATGATTCTGCTTTTAAACATGTTTTACTACTGTCTACTATTTCAACTGTTTGACAACCAAACATGCAGTTATCACAACTGATAGCTATTAAAACTCAGATCTGGGGGGGCGGGGGGGGGGAACAACTCTGAGCCTAACATTGACCTTTAAATGATTGAGATCCACCGATGGTACTACAAAATTAAAAGTATTATATTTAAAAGTAATTTTAAGTAGAATATTATTATAAAAACACAACTCCTAAGGCCAGAATTGACATCAACAAATAGAATCTCAATCTATCTCATCCAACTTCTAAATCATGACACCGAAGCCAGGCATGGTAACATGAACCTACAATCCCACAGACTTGGGAGGCTGAGGCAGGAAGAGGATCACAAATTCAAGGCCAGATTCAGACCCTAAGCAACTTAGCTAGACCCTGTCTCAAAAGATAAAAAGGGATAGGGATGAAGCTCAGGGGTAAAACACCCCTGGGTTCAATTCCCAGTACCAAAACAAAAGCAAAGAAGCAAAACTTAATAGAAGACTGAAGAAAAAAAAAAAAAAATCTAAATCCAAAACCAAACAAAATATAACACATTTCAGTAATAAACTTCTTTTAGCCGGTCATTTCTCATCATCCATGTAAACTATTTTAAGGATCTGAAATCTTCCTCTATAAAAAGCAAGTTCCCATCATCTGAACTACACTTACATTCTACTGAAGTAGTTTCCAAAGCACAACACATGAAGCTTCAGATTTTTGCTTCCTTATCTACTGCACATAAATAAGGTTGAATCTGTGGGTTAATTCAAAAGCCTGACACAGTAGGAGATCTAGGGTTGGGTTCTAACACGAATTTATGTTGTAAACTTTGCAAAAAACCTTTTCTGTACTTGCCACATCGACTGTAATATACAGTATTTGACATCTCCACCACTAATAAAAGTCTCTTTGAAGGAGTGCTGACTGGCTAACCTTAATTAAAAACGATGGCTGAAAATTCCTTGATAAAAATTAAAACTATATAAACCTAAGAGGCAGTGTTACAAGTTACCACATAATAAACAATGACTTACAGAAAATGAGATTTGAGTAACTGCTACAAAGGTGCAATTAGACAACTTTACAAAAATGAGTAAGCAAACAGCTCATCAAATTTTAAAAATTTTCCTAGCAAATGGAGAAGATAAATAATATTCCGTACTCTGGGGCACTGTGTTATTTTCCTTATCTGGATGGTCTCTGCATCAATGTTACCATTCTTCTAAACCTCTTGATGAGTAAACGGACTGGGACTGTCTAAGATCCCTTATAGGAAAAGTTCAGTAAATGTCACGAATACCGAATAATAGTAATAAAAATACAATTCCTAAAGCCAGAATTGACATCAGACTGGGACACCTGAATATGGTGCAAGGTACATGGCACATGCAACTGTTTCTCACTTCTGTCTCTTCTGCATCACCGCCTCCCAAAGGACTACAGAACCCGAAGCTCTCGTTGCCACATCTACAAATTAAAGTATCATGTTTAGAGAGCTCACGGGTTCTACGAACAGGTCAGTATTTAATGAAGGAACCAAGCTAAACAGAAATTCACCCGATGGAACACAACATGCTTTATAAGACTCCACTTAATTATGTGTTTTTTTTTTAATTTCGGAAATAAACACAACTCTTCTTTAAATATTATGTAATAAGTTAGACTCTGGAAAACCCCATACTCATCCGAGAAGCTCAGAAAAAAGAAAAAAAAAAATGGAAAGCAAAATTCGATTAGCTCCATTGTACCCAACCAGGCTAACGTGCAAGATCACACACTCATCTTCGTCAGAGCGTCTCTGCCAATACCAAAGAACAACAAAGGCAAGTTGAGGAGGCTGTTCAGGCTTAACTCAGCACTTGTCCGCTTTCCCAGCTTCGGAAAGAAGCTCTCGGAGCCCCCCCCCCTCCCCCGGGAACACGGGGACCCTCCGCATTGCTCCCGGCGGGCTGCTCAGCTCCGCGCCGCTCGTTCAGCTTTTGTCTGGCCCGGCCGCGAGCCCGGCCGCTCGCCTCCCCGGGACCCTTCCCTCTGGATCTTTCTCCACACCCATCACTCGCCCATGACTAGTTGCTGTAGGTCTCTCTCCCGAGCCCCGTGCCCTCGCAATCCCGAGCTCCTTTCCCAGGCGACCCGAATCGAGTTGGCTTCTCCCCCCGGGGCCGGCGGACTCGGGTCAGGAAGGGGCCCGGGGTGGAGTCTGAGAGAGAAAGTGAGAGGGGCACACAAAGCCCGGCTGACCCCAGCGCCGCCCGCCCGCCCTCTGCAAAGAAGCCTGGGATCAGCAACCTACTGGTACGATCCACCGCCCTCACATCCCGCTCCTCACCCGGCTCCCACTTAAGGGCCGCCCCCCTCCCCCCAAAGTGCACCCAAGAGTGGATGACAGCGCTGGACATCGCCCCCCACCCAGACCCGGCGCCCGCCGCCGCGGGGGAGGGACCGGGGGCCTCGGGACGACTCGGGTCTAAACCTCCTCGCCCTAACCCGGTACTTACAATCCTATTATTCGCTACTGTTTGCCGCTGCGGACCGGACAGCCGCCGCCTTCTCCTCCACCCCAATGAGGTTAAGCGCTTGGTGCGGGGATTAAAAAAAAAAAAAAAAAAGAAAAAGAAAAAAAAAAAAAAAAGGAGCGAGAGAAGCCCACAGCGCCTGCGCAGTGCAGTCTCTCTTTTTCCCTTTACCGCCACCGACCGGGCTGGACCATAGAGAGTGTAAATCGAGACCAGAGAGGTGGCTGCCTCTCTATGGTAACGCCCCGCGCAGGCGCCGGCCTGGCTGCGTTGAGCTTCGGGAGCTGGCAACCTCGGGAGGTTTGCCTCCACGGAAAACGTTAGTTGACGCTAATGGGGACCCGTAGGGTAAAGGTTAAGGAAAGGGTAGCCAGCGTGTAGTAGTCAGCTTGGAGAGTTGCGGCAAAACTCGGGCAAGATAAAAGGACGGACCCAAGCAACACACACCAGAAAGCAAGGAGAGTGATAGGAAGAGCTAGAGAGGAGTCAAGAGAGCGTAGATTAAAGTCGTCCGGCCGGAACTTCCTTTGGCTGGGGGAGGGGGGGTCTAATACCTGAGGAAACAGTGTTTCACTTCTGGGTTAGGGGCGCCCCATCCCCATCGGGCATCTTTCATGAAGAAAATTGTGCCCTGTGACTGCCCGTAGCGAGGCAGAGCGTCGCTTTCCCGAGGTGGCGCGGACGCTCATCCCGGAAGCATAACTTTTGAACAGTTCTTTGCTGTTTTAGGAGCAGAGCCGCCCCCGTGGAAGCTTCGGGGACTCTTGAGTCAACCTCAAAAAGGCTTTTTTTACTTATACGACTGCCTAAATAATGCCGCTTCTGCCCTTCCTGGCGCGTTACCCTCCGATGAAATGTGGGAAAGAGAGCTGGAGGGTGGAAAGCTATGCAAATTATAGGGCTGCCTTCAAGGATCCTGAAGGACCCCACGGTTCTGCCTTGTGAAGCTTCTGTGCTCGCCGGTAATTTGACTTTGAAAGTTTTTGCTTCGTGAAAATCACTCTTAAGAATGATGTTCAATGCACGGGATTCTTCTGGAACCTCCTTGGTGCCGAGCTCCATGCTGCTGGCGTGTGAATGGGTTGGGAGAATGGTACAGGAGAAACTTGAGATAATGCCTTCTGGTCCCCAGAGATATAGGAGTCCTGATCGGAGGGGCTAAGCTAAAACAATGCTAGGTGTGGGTCTTGTGCAGAAAAGTTAAGAGAACTGTGGTTTGAAAGAGTAAGAAAAACAGGATACAGTTCCTGGTTGAATTTAGAAAGGAACGAAACACAAGTAATTTTTTTTAAATATGGTTAGGTGAGAATGAAAGAACATTCCAGAGAAGAAACACCATGAGTGAAGGCCAAAGAGGAATTGGTTGGTATGTGGGAGTATAACTAATGTGTAGTCTATCTGAAATGGGGAGAAGGGGGGAAAAGGGGTGATGCAAAGTAAGGTTTGATAAGTAGAATGGGAAATAATTGTTTGGTTTTTTTATACACCTAACAAAGTTTACCATCCTAATCACTTTTCATATAGTTCAGTAGCATTAAATAAGTTTACATTGTTGCGCAGCCAATCACCAGCATTCTTTTCGTCTTGCAAAACCGGCTTCAAAATTATTAAACAACAATCTTCTGTTGCCTGTCTATCCTCAGCCCTGATAACCACTATTCTACAGTGTTGTGAATTTAACCTCTCTAGGTACTTCATGAAAGTGTAATAATATAGTGTTGATCTTTTTGTGACTGGCTCATTTCACATAGCATCATGTCCTCAAGATTATCCCTGTAGACTAGTTGTGGTGGCACACACCTGTAATCCCAGCAACTCAGGAGTCTGAGGCAGGAGGATTGAAAGTTCAAGTCCATCCTTGGCAACATAGCAAGAGTGTATCAAAGTAAAAAAGGGTCGGGGAGGGCTGGGGTTGTGGCTCAGTGGTAGAGTGCTGGCCTAGCATGGAGGAGGCACTGTGTTCAATCCTCAGCACCACATAAATGTAAAATAAAGATATTGTGTCCACCTAAAACTAAAAAATGAATATTTTTTTTAAAAGGGGTGGGAGATTTGGTTACATTCCATAAAAGAACCCTAGGTTTAATTACCCTGGGTCCATCCCCAGTGTATTTATTTTTATGTGGTGCTAGGGACCGAACCCAGTGCTTCATGCAATGCTATGTCTACCACTGAGCCACAACCTCAGCCCTGCTTTCACCTTTTTGCTTTTATGAATAATGCTGTTGTGAACATGGGCATACCTTTATCTCTTTAAGACCTTGCTTTTGAATAGAATGGGAAAGATTTGGAAACCAAGTAGAGAAATCCATACTTGATAGTACTGGTTTATATCCTTGACTAGGGTTAGTAACATTGGTAAGGAATAGGTTTTTGTTGTGTTTTGTTTTGTTTGAACCGCTAGGAATCTAACCCAGTGCCTCCTGACTGCTAGGCAACTACTCTTAACACTGAGCTAAACCCCCAATCCAAAGAACTGTATTAGAAAAAAAAAAAAAAAAAAACAAAGAACTGTATTAGAAAGTGATCTTCCCCTCAAAGTTGACTATGTACCCTCACTTAGATAAAGCATTTATGAAGGCCTTTTCTTTGCTAGGCATTATATTCTACTGCTTTCTGTAAATTATTAGTATGTCTTTGAATGCATCAAGATCACGTGAGCCAATTGTTATTCACCCCATTTTACAAGTGAGAAAATCAAGGCTTTGTTACATATGGGCTGAGGGAAGGCTCACCAACCACACATATACACAAGGGAGAAAGAAAGAAAATTGCCATGGGAGCTAGGCACCTGTGGGGCCTGACAGTTCACTGCTTTGGAAAGGATATTGGGGGGAAAAATCACGCTTAAGAGTGACTTTTCTTAAGAAAGAATAGGCTGACATCAAAAGCTTTCGCTGTCTGTATAAAGCTCCACACAACAAAAGTGCATCTTTTACATTCCCTAAAAGAACCCTGGGTTTAATTACAGGTCTGCTTTTTGCTTTTAGTAAATATAAAAAGGCTAGGTAGGAATACCTTTGTATGTAATAGAGAAATTAATGGGATACATCCTTTCCTACTCAACACTTCATCTTTTATATTCTCAAAAATACTGTTTGGGGCTGGGGTTGTGGCTCAGCGGTAGAGCACTCGCCAGCAAGTATTAAGGCCCTGGGTTTGATCCTCAGCACCACATAAAAATAAATAAACTAAAAGTATTGTATCCAACTCCAACTTAAAAAATAAAAATATTTTTAAAAATACTGTAAGGGAGGCTGAGACAGGAGAACTGACCAGATGGCAACAGTGACAGGGAAATCTGAGACAGGAGGATTGCAAGTTTGAGGCCAGCCTCAACAATTGAGGGAAGCCCTAAGCAATTTAGTGAGACAGTGTATCAAAATAAAAATTTTAAAAGGCTGGGGAATGTGGCTCAGTGGTAAAGCACTTTGGGGTTCAGTCCCCCATGGCAGGGTGAGGGAGTGTGTGGAGAGGGTGGATTCATGAAGTCTTTGGACAGGTAAGGAAACAGACACTGAGGAAAAATTCTTTGTCCAGTGAACCTGAGCCTACAGAATTCCTACTCTGCTTTGGTCCCCCTTTGAGAGACAGTAAGATGCCTTATTAGTCTGTGTGAATGGACAGTGTTTCTATTATCAGTCTCACCTTCCTTGGGGAAGCATGCCCAACTCTGATGAAGCTAATGCTAATTTAAAAAGGAAGTACAGAATATAAGTGCATTGCAAACACCATTCATACTCTCAAAAATATTGTGTACAAACTATGTGCCAAACCTTTAGCAAAGCAGGGAAAAGTCCCTGATCTCATCAAGGAAATATTTTTGAAAGTAATGAATAAAATATATGACAGCTAGAATAAGTGTTGCAGGAAAAAATGAAACAGGCACAAATAGGAAGGTAATTAATGAGGTTTGGGGTTAAATTCATCAGGGGGACCCTATTGAGAAGGGAAGCTTACTCACAAAAAGGAAGTGAAGGAACAAAAAAATACCTTGTTGGGGAAAAAGCATTCAGGGAGAACAATAGCAAATGCAGAATTGTCCTACAGCAGGAGACACCTCCTGCATTCTAAGAACAGAAAGGCCAGAGTGACCAGTATAGAGAGCAGAAGGGTAAAAGTAGGAAATGAGGTCAGAAAGGTAACAGGATGCCAAACTGTGTTGAGACCAACAGGCCATTATGAGGATTTTTACTGGGCGAGAGTGGATGCCTTTAGGAGGTTACAGTTTGACTTTTAGTACATGCTCTATCACTGAGCTACATCCCCAACTCCCTGACTTAAATTTTTTATTAAAATATTTTTTTAGTTGTAGATGGACATAATATCTTTATTTTATTTATTTATTTTTTATGTGGTGCTGAGGATCGAACCCAGTGCCTCACACAAGACAGACGAGTGCTCTACAACTGAGCCACAACCCCAGCCCCCCTGACTTAAATTTTTAAAGAAACACTTTGGCTTCTATTTTGAAAATAGGTTGTTGGGGAGTAAGGGGAACCATCTAGGAACCTATTATATTAGTCTACATAAGAGACAATTTTGACTTAAGAGAAAGTGCAAGCAGTGGAGGGGTAAGTATCTGGGTATATCCAGACAAGATGACACACAGGATTTGATGGAAATTTAGTTGAGGGTGTGAGAAAATTGGCCAGTCCAGGTGACGTAAGACTTTTGGCATGAACAGTCTCAAGAATGAAGTTGCCATTTATTGAAATGGGAAAGATGAAACAAAATGACAAAGGAGAAGGTCAGGAATGGGAGGAGATAAGAAATTCAGTTCTGTTAATTTTGAGGTGCCTATTAATTTGCCAAATGGAAATAAGGAGAAATTTAGATATAATCGTCTGATTACATCAGTATATAGATAGTATTTGAAATCATGATGTTAAACAAACAGAAATTTGAAAAAGATATCAAAGCCACTGAAATAAACCAGAAAAGGAATTCACATGGTGGCAGGGGAGGCAGGGGTTCAAAGATAAACAATAATGTCAATTGCAGATGAGCTATAATTGTCTCTTGGTTTTATCATTTGAGTAGTGAAGATGAAAGCCAGATTATAATGAGTTCATAAAAGAATAGTAGAAACACAATTGGAGAGAGGGAAGAGTTTGGTTGTACAGGT